AAAATCAGCCTTTTTATTGTTTCTCTTCGGGGTTGAAGTCACACCTGGATCAAATTCATCTGAACAAAATAACGAAATTTGTTTGAATTTGAGTTCATTGTTTACAACATCATTTTTATTTTAACCAAGTAGACCTTGATTGAATGAAAAACCGCATAATAACGAACAACACATATGAAAAACAACAAGAAAAGAAAACAATTCAATCCTACCTTCATATGAAGATGACCCAAAACGATGTTTCAGCAGTAGCTCCATTACTCTGGTGCAAATTTCAGCCTTTTGTGATTGGCTGATTTTTCGGCGGAGCCGACTGAGCACGAATTCTTACCGATAGCTATATTTAGCAAAAATAAGGAATAGAAATCTCAATCGGAAACCTCTATTTTTGACATTGCAAACGTTATGAAACTTTTTGGATCTTATTTTTTTTACCAAAAGACTCAATCTCTGAAATTTTGAAGCCAATCGAGACAGATATAAAGGTACCTCCCATGAAAATGCATATGGTCATTTTTTTGCTAATTTTATGAAGAAAATGCGAAAATTTGTATGGGGTTCAAATGAATCGGTTAGAATAATCTTGACCTACCAATTTTTCGTAAAATAAAACCGTAACATAAAGTTGGTTTAAAATAGTGGAGAAACATAGAAAGCGTTTAAAGATTTAAAGTTTAATATGTGAAAAGTCCAAGAGAGGAGATTATTAAAATAATTTTGTTAAAATAGCATTTTTAAAATATATGTGAAAAGAGATAAAACAAGAGCTAGATAAAAGTGTAAATCGAATACCGAAACAAAAAAGGTAGGATTAGTTTATGTATTTTTAAGAAAAGTCTGCTTATTGAAGTTTTATAAAATATGGGATTAGTCGACTTAATTGAGTTTATGTATGTCATATTAATTTTTTCATAGATGGCTTCATCTCAACCAATTTCAAAGAGAGATATCAACAGTGTTGTGACGTATATGTCTAGCACTGGTGCTGATTCAGAACCATTCCAGTTAATGAATCGGACAACCAAACTAAGGTATTGGCTGATTTATGTGTATGGATGAATAACAAAACATGGTACATAAACAGACACCCAAATTTGAACTAAGTCGCGTTTAAAGAATTAATGGACAACCTGGTGAAGAAGGATCTTGTCTAAAATCCGATCGTTTATCAAGAGGGGTGCAGTCGCATCATCTTGCACACATGCAAGCAGCCGTCCGCCATAAAATGTCGTTGCTTGTTTTATTCGAATTTCTGCCTACCACTCGTCCGCATGGGGAAGCAGAACATGAGTACGATGAAGGAAGCCAATTCGTTGGAAATGTTCCGTGAAAATTTTCAAGTTTTTATCGAAAGCGAAAGGGCAGCCAATGATAATCAATCCGGGATAAAAATTGTTATATTCAACGGAAAGCGCTTCAGCGCAACAAATTTGAAACAAGCATATTTGATTCTCCGACAGAAGAGCAACGGAAATTTATCAATTCCATGTGGGATGCGGGTGAAAAACGCTATAAAGCCAAGAAACTTTCCGTTGAACATTTCCGGGGTTGAAGATAACCAAGCCAAAATCGAAGATCGTTTCAAAAATACAGATATATCTGATATCTTTAAACTTTAATCTGCAACATGTTCAAAGTGAAAATAATAGTGAAACAAAGCTATGTTTTACTATTATTTTCACTCTGTGCATGATTCATTTTTATTTTAAACGCTTTCTATGTTCCTCTATTATGTTATGTTAAGAACTGCTTCTCAGTGATAACAAACTGATAAGGAATGCGAATTCCGATGTGGCGATAACACCAATAGATTCAGCACACCGAATATTGCATTAGAATCGGAAAAAAAAATTTAAACTTTTTTTTCGATTTTCGGCTGTGTTGCGACCTACATGGAAAGTTTGTATGAAAACCTCGGAGCGCCGGTGAAACAACATTGGTAAATCTAAATATGGCCAAATTCCAAGTATTGGATAAGTATAATCAATAAGAATCATTACTTGTACAATTGACGGCTCAAAATATTTCAATTTAACACATTGGTTTTGGAAAAAGAAGAGATTATTTGCATAAATGGTTAAAAATATTTTAATGTTATTGTGCCACATCGAAATTCGCATTCCTTATCAGTTTGTTATCACTGAGAAGCAGTTCTTAAAATAAAGGAGAATCATGTTGAATGTTAACATAATAGAGAAACATAAAGACGTTTAAACTAAAAATAAATCATGCACTAGGGTGGCTTTTTTGCAGACAAGTTGCGATTTTCTATTGCGCAATAGGCTTAAAAGTTGTGGTTGGACCTAAAAAGAAAGAATATACCTTATAAAGCGATTTTCGATGACGAAAACACGTTCCGAAATAATTAGGCGTTCAAAAATCCAAATTCTGGTACATTTTTGGCATTTGATGACTTTTTCCTTGCCTTTATTGTATTTTTTCATATATTTTTTGCTTTGGGATCAAAGAATCTGACACATATAACATGGAAAAACAGTACTGAAGTTACAGTATTTTTTGTGAGAAGTTTCGCTCAATTTGACCACTTTTTGACACTTTGATGGGCTCAAAACTACTTATATCGATTGGAATTGTTGAGTACCTTCCTTCAATCTCATAGAAGGAGAATATACAAAGAATTTAAGTGCTATGTGGTCTAAATATGTTTCTTGGTTTAGTGGGAATTCACATTGAACTGTTATGACCAAACTGAAGGTTCAAGGAAATTTCAAATTAATTTATGGACCAAAACCAAACTTGCGCAAATGCGATCAGCATGAAACTTCCAGAATCTTATTTTTTCGCCAGAAAAAAAAATCTCAGGAAGTATGAAGCCAATCAAAAGCGATTTACGGGTACCTCCCATACAAAATTATCGAAATTTTGAGAAAAATTACATATTTTTCATAAAAAATGACCAAAAATCGTTATAAAATCACTTCAGTACTGTTTTTCCATGTTATATGTGTCAGATTCTTTGATCCCAAAGCAAAAAAATATATTGAAACATACAATAAAGGCAAGGAAAAAGTCGTCAAATGCCAAAAATGTACCAGAATTTGTATTTTTAGCCGCCTAATTATTTCGGAACGTGTTTTCGTCATCGAAAATCGCTGTATAAGGTATATTCTTTCTTTTTAGGTCCAACCACAACTTTTAAGCCTGTTGCGCAATAGAAAATCGTATCTTGTCTGCAAAAAAGCCACCCTAATCATGCACAGAGTGAAAATAATAGTGAAACTAGCTATGTTTCACTATTATTTTCACTTTTATTTTAAACCAACGTTATGTTACGGTTCTATTTTACGAAAAATTGGTAGGCCAAGATTATTCTAACCGATTCAAATCTTCTTCGATCAGCTTCAAAATGTCATAGATTGAGTTTTTTGTGGAAAAATAAGATCCAAAAAGTTTCTAAATGGGTTTTCTAATAATATTTCAGTTTCATGGTTTCATACAAACATAGTGACAAAGCGTAGCGACTACGCGTACCACTACGTTTGTAGAATTACTTAACGTAGTGCAACGCGTACTCGTAACGTTTCGCTACTGTGCATACAAAAATGGTCTGCCTACTTAGATCTTGCGTTGACCTGCAATTCCCATAAACAAAAGAAGGGATATGACTTTTCGTGCTTGTTTTGAGGCCGGCTAAAGGTTATACCAGGGTACCACAGAACATCAGAATTTGTGTTGGATATGTTGTGCAAAAATAAATCGATTTACCAAGCGTATATCATATTCCAACCCTGCGTTGAAAATGTTGTCATTGCAGACGATTTTGTGAATTGTCCAACCATTTCCTTCCCGCCTTTTCTCAGTGCATAAAATCACAAAATGTTCACACCAAATAATCGTCGGAGGTCACTTTTATTCTCAACGATTCATATGTTGATAGCTACACTGAAGGATGACCATGACCACCCAGCTGTAGTGGTTTTCAAAGCTGATGAGGAAGTTATCGCACAGTTTGTCGAAACGCTCTTGATTCCAACCTCACGAGAGAGAAACCAATACAGTGAATATCAGCCGCTGAAAGAGGCATACACCGCAAAAATAGCGCCTTATTTGAATAAATTCAAGACAGCAATAGAGGGTAATGAGGTAGACACTGAAAATGGTTAACGCTGTTCGTACTGCTCAAATTTAAAGTGAAAATCGCCTCATTTCCATTTCGCGTTTTCTACATACATTCGTATGTGTAACACAGAAGACAAGAGTGTCAATAATATACCCATCGTCAAAGCCGAAAAAAAGAAATCACCAAAAAAGGATATAATACATCAATAAGTTCCCAATTATGTTGAAAATCTAGATGACTATACAGCAAAAATATGGAAACAAAATTAGAAGGATACCAAAAAGCGCAACGATAAAATAAGTCTTTTAACCCTTTATCACATATCGGTTCCTAAAGTAACCAGATACGCCAGACGCTATAGCCATGAAACCACTGAATATTTTTGCATTCTTGTTTGGAAACAAATGTAGGGAATTGAACTAGCTTTCATTTGATACTTTACAGGCTACAATTGGTTAGCTGAATGGAAAGTTTTTTCTGTTCATGTACTGCTGTAAAAAAATGCGAAATTATAGCAAATTCCACATTTTTCCTCCTCTTATCTTGTGGGTTTGTACATTCTTTTCAATTGTCAAATTAGGACTCGTAGGACCAAAACACATCAATTTAACTTTCTGCATCATTAGTTATATGAAATTTAATTTTTTCAAGCTTTTATAGTGATTTGACACTTTTGACTCTTTTCCGATTTTCTCGACAAATACGCAATTTTTCAAAAATCTAAGTATGAGGGTCTTTCTCTATTTATCATGGCACAAAACATATATCGAAATGATTCAAAAGACAAAACTTGTGCATCAAAGGGTTAAAGAAGAGAATGTCTAATTCTATATTTTGAAAATTGTCCAGTCCTAGTGCGGGAATGCTATCAATATTCCAACCAGGATTGAGCAATTCAGAATAATGTCATATTGCTCAATTTTATATTTTATTTTCTTTTATTCAAATGTCTTTATTCGCAAATCATCTAAGTTACATGGCAATATTTTGCATCGAATAACTCAAAGGTTAACAGCTCTATTGAGTGAATTGTGTTTGTGAAGTTGATCTGGAAGAATTCCACGAATGAGTGGCACCAAGTTCTTTGAATAAACATCGGTATAGAGTTCATCGACAGAGATTTCATTGTCTGCTTTGCATACTTTTGTTGCTGCGTCAACAGTCTTCTTAATTTCGTCGTCAAGTTTCTTGATTTCTTCGGCGGTGGCGAGACCAGAGTCAAAAAGACGTTCTTTGAATACATTGATTGGATCGCGAGACTGGCGCACACCTTGAACTTCATCTCGGGAGCGATAGCTGGTACCAGGATCGGACATACTGTGTCCAGAATAACTGAAAATGAATAAAAGAATGTTATTCAAAGTCAAATCAATGATGAAAACCCATACGGGATACCAACCGATAAGTAAGCACTTCAATGACCATTGGTCCTGTTTCAACGGCGTATTTAATAGCGAATTCAAAAGCATTACGAACAGCCAGAACATCCATACCATCGACCCAAATGCCGGGCAATACATCACCTCTTCGGAAATATTCCGTGTTACACGATGAACGTTCAGCACTTGTTCCCATACCTGCGAACAATGCCAATGTTACATGATAAATTTCCACACAAAAAAGTGAGCGCAATGAATTGATTTTACCGTATTGATTGTTTTCACATACGAAGATGCATGGCAATTTCCACAGATAAGCCATGTTGTATGCTTCGAATATTTGACCTTGATTCGATGCACCGTCACCATACAATGCTAAGCAAACACCACCGTTTCCTTTGTACTTGCAGGCGAATGCAACGCCAGCACCCAATGGAACCTGAAAATTCCATAAGAGATCATTTGTTTAGATTTGGCCATCGCTTAGCGTGAAACTATATTCATAACGGAATTTTACCTGTGCACCGACGATACCGTTTCCGCCATAGAAATTGGGTGCATACATGTGCATTGAGCCGCCTTTGCCACGGGCACAACCGCCTTGTTTTCCTGGTTACGGATTATTACAGCATTTTTGTTTATCGAAAAACATGTCAATTTTTGTGACGAAACAAAATAAATGACTGGATTTACCTGTTAATTCACACAAAACACCAGTTGGCGGTACTCCCATCAAATAAGTCCAACCATGCACTCGGTACGCCGATATGATGTTGTCTTGTGGACGCATCGCAGCTTTCATACCTATTCATTGAACATCAACCAAAAGATATGATTGAAGAAAAAAAATGGTTTTATTTCAAAAATCACGATCCACTTTTAGTCAAAATTTGCTTCTGATTCAGGATCGATACTGAATTCAACGATTGTCTTTTTTTCACTAAAAAAAATAAAACCGGTGTACATACCAACAGCACATGCTTCTTGGCCCGAGTACAAATGACAGAAACCACGTACGATTTTCTCTTTATATAGATTACCAGCAGCTGTTTCCAACCGACGAATCGTTTGCATTTGTTGATATAATTCGAGTGCTTTTTCTCTGGTTACATCGGCCTTTGTCGATGGTCCTGACTCCAAATTGTGCAACTTGAAAGGCTGCAATTCAAAGAGAAAAAAATATTGTATTATGTATTTATGATACATAGTTTTATTACACTTAATTCTGATTTGTTATCAAGTTTGTTGAATTTTTTTGTCATTTTTACTGAAGATTTGTAAATTTTAAAATAGGTTATGTATTTAAACCAAACATACGGATCCGATCAAAGTCGATTGTTTCTAGGTTGAATCAGTCAAGACGACGCAAACGACGTGAAGCGTCATTACATTCAGGTTATATTTATGTGCTTAGATCAATAACAGTCATCTTAAGAATAAGTACAATTACAATTTCATTCCATAGACCGCTTGATGCGGACTGAGCTAGGGGCTTTAAAGTCAAAATATACATTCGAATTTGTGTGAATATTTCGTGAATATGGCATTGAATTCGTGTATATCGTGTATACAAAAAAGTGACCACAATGAATTGATTTTACCGTATTTATTGTTTTCACATACGAAGATGAATGGCAATTTCTACAGATAAGCCATGTTGTATGCTTCAAATATTTGTAGTACAATATACATGAATATGGTGGATATTTTGTCAATATTGTCAAAATTGTCATAAATTTCTTGAATAAAATAAACACGAAATCCCCTAGGGGCTGGGCGTCGTGTCTACACGTTTGTTCCAAACACAAATCGCAATGTAAACAATGTTTTTGATTTTGACAGACGAAGTGTCAGAAGCGATAGAGCTTCTATTGTTCCAATACGCGCCAACAGAGGCAGAATACTCGTCAAGGTTTACCGATTTACCACAAGTGGAATTGGCACTTCACCGCAGATAAAACGTCAAGCTTATGTATTGTTTCACCTCTTGCGTATTTTATTAGTTTGTTCAACATCGTTTTGTATAAATAATAAAATTTCAAATTTTAAGAAGATCCCGATTTGAAGAAAAATCGATTATACAGGCAAATGCACACCTTGCTTATTTCATGTTATTGAGTCATGTGTTGTTACACTAACAGTCGAGCTAAATAGATTTATTTAACTGAATCTACAATTTCGTAAAAATAACAGTAATCGCATCATCGATAGTCGCTTATGAGTCATAACAAAAGAACTAATAAATTAAAATCGGCGGTGTTCCGAAGAACACCAACGAATTTCATGGAAACATTAATTGGAATTTGCCACATTAATGATTTACATTGAATTTAATTTACACAAATAGTGCAACCCGCTCTAGCTTATTTATTTTACTTATTTTGCCATTTTTACTTTTTTAAATTTTTATCCAATTGATTCAATTCAAACATAAAGCTAAGTACACAGTTCCTCGTGAAATGAAAAAATTTCTCCGGTGAAATGTTCACAGGTGATATCTGTATGGTGTTTTTTATTTTCGAATTGCAAGCATAATGATTTTTGATGTATGAGACAGTTAACTCCCTCCAATATCAACACAACACATGAACAAATTTGAATTTTGAATTCTTTCTTTAATGTATTTTGATCTTTCTTATTTTTTCACGGCCGTGAAAAATATTTCGCGTGCAAAATGTACGAATCAAAATTTGTTCAGACAAAACACATAGAAGAATGAACTCAAAAACCGAATTTGTTCATATGTCGTGTTGATATTGGAAGGAGTTAACTGTTTCATGCATCAAAAATCATTATGCTTGCAATTCGAAAATAAAAAAATACCATACAAATATCACCTGTGAAGATTTCACCGGCGAAATTTTTTCATTTCACAAGGAACTGTGTACTTAGCTTAAAAATCAAAACCAAAAACCAACATAAAACAGAAAAACCCGTCATTGTGGTTTTTATTTAGAATTTTCCACAAAATAATTAAATTAGAACAACTAAAATTATCATACATATATGCTGAAAAGTCACAAGACTGAAACTCATAAAATGAAAACTTTGTAAATATTGTAGGTATACTAACAAAAACTTTCACTTCTAATAAACACATTACATTACAAATCGGCGGTCAGTTTTCTTGCAGCCGAATGATTACTTATTCGAAATATAAACAAAAACTGATACCGTTAAGGCGAATTGAGTTTTTGTTGCTTGTGTATAATGCGAAATATCGAGAAAATAAAGTTGAGAACTGTGAAAATAAAGAGATAGAATGACTCAACTTCAAAATTTTATTTCCAGATATAAAAAAGTAACATCCCGATTTTGAAATTAGAGCAGCACTTTTCAATTTAGAGGATCCCGAATCTGGTAGAAGATCCCGAAATTTCAGTCTCTGCTTTTACCTCTTATCAGTTTCGCGAAAAGCGCGAAAAATGATTAAAAAAAAGTTCTATACTAAAGGATAAGTCCCAAACTTTTGAAAGCTGATCGTCTTATGTCAAAATCAACAATTCCAGACACACTCTTAGAATTTTTCAACATAAGAATGAGATAAATACGTACAAGCTTCTGAGTTACCTAACGAACGCACAAACGAAGACACAACAACGGAGAAAACACAAGCAAGAGAATGTGCGCGCTACACTCATTCGCCTTCTACTCGGTTCGTTCATCGAGCGAACGGTTTCTGTGTATATGTGACAATAAGGTTCAACTGGACGGGCGCACGTTCAATATTGCCACATATACACAGACAATGTTTGCGTTGTGTATGTATGCTCGATGAACGAACTGAGTAGAAGCGAATGAGTGTAGGGTGCACACTATGTGTTCTTGGATTGTTTGTGCCCCGGACGAGTTAACTACGTTGAGTTTTCAAAGATTCTTAGAACGAAAAATTAATTCCGAGGTGCTATATCAAAGTGCATTACGCCGAATCGTCCTTCTTTTTCGTGTACACATTGGGGTAAGTTATGTTCAATTTTTTTTCTTTATCTTCTTTTCGTGTGTGTGTGTGTTTTTTTTTCTCGATGATTTTTTAATTTTGTTTTATTTTTTGCCGAACAGCAAACCACAATAGACAACAACAGCAACAAAAATAATAAGAAGGTCGTTGCAGACCGAACAAGGGGAATTTGCCAAAACGAACGAAACCAATTGCGAAGCGGAATAAGTTGGTGAAAGCGGGGCGTGGTGGTCGTCCAAAAACGGTAGTGTTGCCGCAACCATCGCCGACTCCACAACCATCGTCACCCCCGCAACCGGAAGAACGCCCCAACCAACCAACAAGTGATGTCGATGGATTCGTGGACGACCGCGGCAACAATTTTGCGTTTTTCGCGGTTTTTTGAGTAACTGATAAGAGATAACAAGTTATTGTCTTCAGGAATGTTGTAGAGCTCAACTCTTTCTTTAGCTTTGCTGAAGACAGATTTCCCCTAACTCTTATCAGTTACGCGAAAAATGACAAGTAAAAAACCCGTATTTTTCGCGGTCAGCGGTTTTTCGCGTATTTTGCGCAACTGATAAGAGATAAGAGATATCTGTCTGGGACAAAATTGTAGAGCGGGACAAGTACTACAATATTTTCGAAGATTTTATCTCCTTATCTCTTATCATAATGCGGAAGACCGCGAAAAACGCGATTTTTATGTTATCATTTTTCGCGTAACTGATAAGAGATAACAAGTTGGTGTCTTCGGGAATGTTGTAGAACTCAACCTGTTCTACAACTTTGCTGAAGGCAGATATCTCTTATCTCTTATCAGTCCATTAAAAAATTAGATACAAAAAATACGCGTCTTCCGGTTTTTTGCATATTTCGCGGAACTGATAAGAGATAACGGAATAGTGTTTGTAGACCCTTCAGACAGGGTTGAGATAGTTTTAGATCGATTCCTCGTTTAAAATTAAGTGGAAATAGACTCATAACAGCCAAATGTAGGTAGGTTTCCTATGTCATAAATGTGATTTTGTATGCAAATTGCAACCATTTGATTGCTCAATGAAGAAATGTTGTTTTAAGTCAATTTTATGGGTAATTCCATGTTCAAATGGTCATATTTTCATGTATTTTGACGAGAAAATAGCAGTTTTCTCAGACAAAAATATCGTAGGAGGCCATTTTTGACCATTTTACCCACAAAAACTGTGAAAAGTAAGATATAATTCATCTGCCGAGGCCAAAATAACGAATTTAGTCATGGTAATACACGAGAAAACTTCGGAAATTTCCTAACGTTTACCAAAGTGTCACTTTTTTGACTATGACAATACATCAATACATTGAAATAACACTTAGTGTACTGGTGGAACAAATGAACGAAGAAACAAACACAAAACACAACAAGAAAGCATGCCAACTGATCACCTGCATCTCATTCAAACACAAAGACATACCGTGCCACCGCGCTGTGTATATATGCAATGACGATGTTCGAACGAGTGGGATGCAGAGTGGCACATAATGCGTCGTTCGTCTGTCTTCTTGAAATTTGTATGTGTTTGTGTGTCAAAACTGGCTAAATCGATAATACCAAAATTTTCGAAGTCCTTTTATTTTCTTATCTGAAGCGACGTGACATGGGTTATGTTTTGACGCAAAGAAAAAACACATAAAAAAATCACCATGAAAAAACTAATAAGAGATAAAAAATATTTCTCTTAAGCAAAGTTTTAGAGGATTTCGAATATTACGACTTTGTTAAAGTTACTAAACCTTTACCTCTTATCAGCCTCAAGAAAATCCTGACCGAATGCGGACTATCACTCATTTTCAGTAGTTTCATCACACACATTTCGAAGCAATTGCTTAAACTGGAAGAGAATCCAGTGGAGTAGGGGGATCCGACTGGGTCCAATGTGTTCTGGAAGCATAATCCTCCAGTAATCATCCCCTAGGGATTTGCAAAATTTTTGCAATATTTTTGCAGAATTCCGCTCGTATCAGTCCCAAAATTGAAAATATGGGTCACTCTAACATGCAAGTTGCAACATTTTTTCCCATTTTGATGAACAAAATGAAAAGGTAGCGGATCAAATTATTGAATTGATTGAAAATGTGACAAATATTTGCATTGGTGAACAGTTTTTTGATTAATTTTCAAAAAATGTGAGGTTTCTGCAAGTTCATTGTATTTCGAGTTTTATGCGATTTTTCTCTATTC